CAACAACAACAACAACAACAACAACAAGTCCACCATAGCTATGGCTTCCCTCCTTCAGCCTCCTCTCTCATGCATAAGCTATGGCGGACTAATGAGGGCCCTGCCCTCCTGTCCAAGAGACAACCCAAGCAGTTATGGTGCTGCGCTGATGTCCAAAGGACAACCCAGAGCAGCTATGGTGCGGCGCTGATGTCCAAAGGACAACCCAAAGCAGCTATGCCGCTGTTGACTGGTCCGCCATGCCTGACTCTGCCTCGAGCTTCCTTGGTGCAGCGCTACCCCAACTGGGGCCTTCCAGATGCAGCACCCAACAAGGTGATGAAGACGGTGTCCACCATAGCCAGGTAAGTGCCCCGCCACTCTCCTACCATGCCCCCTTCTTCCTCCTCCTCAAGCTGGACTGCTCACCATAGCCAGGCTGAGCTCCAGCGGCCCTTCACCTCCAAGCAGCGCTGTACTCTCCAGCGCTGCGCTCCCGCAGCATGTCGCCAATCCTTGCATACCGCAAATGAGGAGGAGCTACTTGCTCCTCCGAAAGATATAGCGGCCTACTGGCCTCTTGGGCGGTGACTTCCTAGGCCGAGCGGCCTCCCAGCAACCGGTACCTCCTCCCTTTCGGAGGGAAACATCATTGCAGGCTCTGCTAACCTCCGGACAGGCCCTAGACCCGGGCTACTTGGACTGGTACCGGCCTACCTCTAACCTACCGCTACTGGGCCTCTAAAAATGCCAACTTTTTGTCTTCTTCTGCTCGGCCTCCAGTACCCGACACTTCTGCCACTATTTCAGTGGTACCGGCCTACCTGCTACTTGAGTGTTTTTCCCCTCTGCTCTAAGTGCCACGGGCCTACCCCCGCTACTCGAGTGTTTTCCCCCTGCAACCCTTCACAGTCACGGCCACAGGTAAGTACCGGCCCTGCGGGGCCTTGCAACCAACAAGTACCCTTGCGGGTCACACACACACTCAACCGACAAGCACTCAGACAGGCATGCAAACCAGCAGGCACGCACACACACACAGACATGGAAATCACAGCAGAATGCGGGAATTTCACCAAGGCATTCATTCCAGCGGCAAATCCCAGAAATCAGCAGTGTTCTCAGTCTGTGTTTTTGGCGGGTCATTACACTTACAAAATCTCAAGGCCGAACAGACTTCCCAGCTTGAGTTTGTTTTGCTGTGTAAACTCAGGCCCGAGCAAAACTGATGATGGGAGTCTTTTTTCCCATTTAAAACTTCGCGGCCCCAGGTGGCAGCAGTTTCCCCTTTTTTTTGGCGGGCCTTCTTGACAGTCTATGCATCAGTGCTTTTCTCTGCTCTCTACTGCCTAATTCTGTCCTCTGGCACATCTCACAAAGTGGATCTTCATCTTCTGGCACATCTCACAAAGTGGATCTTCATCTTCTGGCACATCTCACAAAGTGGATCTTCATCTTTTGGCACATCTCACAAAGTGGATCTTCATCTTCTGGCACATCTCACAAAGTGGATCTTCATCTTCCGGCACATCTCACAAAGTGGATATTCAAAACATGTCTCATCTTCTTGTTTTGTTTCACTCGACGTCCAGTTGTTGATTAACTGGGAATGATAGGTAAACCAGATTGCTCAAACCATAATGGAAACCTACCCCGTCGTCACCCGAATACAACGTATGGTTATTAGAGCTGTATTTGGTGCAACTTTGAGTCCAGATACAGCAATAATGACCGGGTGAAGACGTGGTAGTTTGCTAAAGCCTCATCTTGTTGAACCAGCCAGTCAGTTCAATTACTAGGTAGGAAGTTAATCTGTGAAAGTCCTTTTTTGCATTATGGGCGCTGTATGTACATGGTGGTGATGTTGATTGGTCCGTAATACTCCGTATATGTTTGCACAACTTTGCAGTGATCGTTATTTGGAGTGGATTCTGGCTGTGCCTATGGTTGGCGGCATAATCTGCCCAATTAACTACAGATGGGTAAGTGGAAATGCGATTGACGGTGTTTTTTTTTTCCCTTCGTGTTTAAAGCTTTTTTCTTTCATCCTTCCCTTCCCTGGGGGAAGGGGGGGAGGAGGGGGGGGGGGGGGGGGGGTTGGAAGAAAGGCTGTCCGATCGTCCTGAAGAGAACACACACAGCTTGTGTCGAACACAAAGGAAAAAAGGAGGTGGTGGGTGGGTGGGGGAATCACTCCAGAAAATGACATTTTCCCTTAAACAAGTAGTTCGTCTAGGCCTTTTTTTTTTTTTTTTATAAACAGAACCTCTTGGTTCTGGCTCCTGCCATTTTGGAGAGTGACAGTCCGGTTCCTGTTCCCCCGGCAAGTCAATATGGAGTACATAGGAAACTCACGCACGCTCCTCCCCATTATGGCTGGGAGGCCCGAGTGGGCGGCATTGATTACTTCCTTGTGGAAGGATGTACCCCCTCTCACCCTTGCTTAAGTTAGCCTGTGATACTTAATCTGGTAGGCCCTTGCTAATCTCACTGGCCACAGTCCTGCTCCTCTCAGCTGCAATGCTGTCGGGTCGGTGTGTTATGCTAGAGCAGTCAGGGACACTTGTGGATTTCTTGAAATCCTGAAACCTTAAACCCTACTTGTCTTGAGTCTGTCCTAACCCTAAACCCTTGTCTATCTAGCCTTGGTTTACCATGACCCGGCTTGTCTTGACTCTGTCTAGACTCTAAATCCTTGACTCTGTCTAAGCCCTAAACCCTTGTCCTCTTTAACCTTGCGCTGATTGTGACATTTAGGACTCATCTTTATCTTTTATGTTGCTTTCCCTTATCCCTTTGTGCGTTTTAACTAGAGTCCATTGCCATACTTGGGGTATATGGTGTACTTCTTCGTATCTCTGAGATCCGTGGTTGTTCAACATTGCGGTGTCTCCATTGTCCTTTTTTTTTTTTTTTTTTTTTTTTTTTTTTTTTTTTTTTTTTTTTTTTTTTTTTTTTTTTTTTTTTTAGATCTATTTGGAATTTCACGACTTCGCCCTACCGACTGCACTCATGTTCGCCGACGACCTTACGGTACTCATTCGAGCAAACAACAGCTCCTTCCAATCACTGGTAAAAGCAATGGAAGCATTCAGACTGGCTTCAGAGATGAGGGTCAATTGGAACAAAACCGAAGGATGGTGGTTAGGAGACGGCACCCCTCCCCAACCTCCGGACACAACTACACCCATGAATTGGACCACGGGAGTACAAGCACTACGGTTCCTGGGCATCATGGTCAACAAGGAAGGAGTGTGGCCAGGAATGGGCCAGAATCTGATAGCAAGAGCAATCACCCGCCTGGCGCTGTGCAAAAACGCCTAGGCCTCACTAATCGGACGGGCACTACTCATCAACACAGTGATCTTCTCTACATTGTGGTACATGGCATCAATCTGGTCCCCCCCTGACGACGACCTCAAGGAACTCAAGAACAGGGTTAGGTGCTACCTGTGGACAGGTGACCCCAACAGGACCACCGGCATCAATAGGATCGCATGGAACCATATCACTAGGAAGCCACAAGAAGGAGGCCTCGGGATAATCGACCCAAAACAGGAGTCCATAGCACTGCAGATGAAATGGATAATCAAGATTCTCACCAAACAATTCCTCCTGTGGACCCATATGGCGCTAGACAGCATCAGAAATCTGGCTCCCATCAACTCCCCTCGAAATATGAACGGCTTGTTTTGGATTATGGCAAAGGACTGGACAATCAAGTCCAGCAGACCATGCGGAAGACACCCCGCACAGCACAATCCTGCACAGCTCAACACAAACCCATCTCACACAGCCAGCATTTATTGGAGCCCCACCATCAAAGCCTGGCGCAAAATGATGCCGAACAAACATGGGGCACCAGCGAACAGAGAAGAGGTCCTGAGGCAACCACTATTCTGCAACTCCTGGATCACCGATCCCAGTGGAACTACCTGGACCATACGTGCTAGGGACCGCAGATGGTTATCTTGGGTAGAAAAAGGAGTATGGCAGGTTAAGCACATCTGGGCAGAAGAACAAGGAAGGTGGGAAACGGATCAGGAACTACGCAACATATTAAAAGGCTGCCACTCCCTCGCCGACAACTTAGTACTGATTCAAAATAGCATCCCAAAACAATGTTTCCCCCTCCTAAGAGAGGGATTCTCGTGGAAGTCCGGGGACTGGGGCATACTAGTCGCCCAAGCCCAGCCTACCAGAGCATACAGATTCGTCGTTAGAACAAATCCACCCGGATACCTATCGAAATTATATTCCTACCCGGTATTGAAACACAACACGAACGAAATGGAAGTCCAGAACAACGACCCCCAGAGCGAGATGCTGGAGACTTTCCGACTGAGAAAAGTGAGGGTATCAAAATCCAAACCCTGGAAAATCTTCCGACCAGATCTCTGCATCTCAGAACTAGAATTTGACCCGAAAGAATGGATATGGAAACAGGGGAACTCTAGCAGGACGAGAACGATAACAGAATACGATGTCAAATTCGGCTACGAGCTAGGCCTACAGACCACAGACCCAGATCCCAAACTCAAAAGCAAATGGAGGGATATTTTGAGTCTGGACCCCTCGACCCCCATATCCATCCCGTGGACGAAATTCCTAACCATCAGACCGACAAGGATTAGAAGCATGCAATGGCTCATAGCGCACGCAGCACTGCCAACCAATCAATGGCTTCACAAGAGGAGAAAACACACAGACCCCGACAGCACTGATATATGCAAACTTTGCACAGTCAACGCCGTAGAAGACGTACTCCACTGCCTCCTATACTGCACAGAAGCAGCATGGATCTGGAATAAAGTGCGCGACCTATGGACCATCCTTTTCTCATCACCTCCCCCGGCCACAACACCCCTGAACATCCTGCTCCTATCTAACGACACTAACAATCTCAAAGGCGGCAAGGATGTCTGGTTCCATCTACTCAGAAAGCTGGCTCTATGGGTTATCTGGAAGAGGAGATGCTCCAAGACGATCGAAGGAATTGAAGTGCCAAGAGAGGAAATGTGGGCTCTACTGCTGAGAATGGCTGAAACAGATTCGATCCAGATGGAGAGAAGTGACCATGACGACGAAAGGAAGACCAGAAAAGATAGCCACCAAGAGACGCAAATTCAAAAGGGACTGGCTCTTACAGGGAAAGATCGCCACTGTGGCGGACAACAGGATGATATGGAAGAAGTGGCATACCACAAAAACAGGGACTCAATGAAGAGCAAACTGAGATTGTAATCTCAACAGCCAAGACAACTCTCCCCTTTTCTTGCTTTATACGAAGTATCTGACAGAGATAGCATAATCTCTGAGAGGAAAAGAGGTAGGGCAAGCTGACAGTCAATCCTCCGGATAGGGAGCAATCAATGCTGGTCAGGGTTCCTTCGGCCTGACGGAAGGAAGCGTGAGGGTGTTCACCATGTATTTTATTCTCGACTTGCCGGTGGAAAGGAACCGGACTGACGCTCCCCAGAATGGATAAGGAGCCAGGACCATAAGGACCTGATTAAAAAAAAAAAAAGATCTATTTGGAATTTTGGATTTATCTAGGGAGTAAATTAGTTAATGATTGACTTTGGTGAAGGTTTTCTGGCGTTATTTTGTCCCACAGTTTGAATTCTGTACTTTGTCCATTGATAGCCGCTATTCTGCCTTTTGCAAGGAAGTTTTGTCCTCATCTTCCTTCATCTTTCTTTTAACCTTCCGCCATAAGGTCCAGTATTCTGTTCTTACCTGCTGTTGAATGATTCCCCATGCTTCTTGATTATGCAGCCTTTTTTCTCTATTGTCTCTTGGCATCTTTTCTTCCATATGGCCCATAATGTTGCATTTCTGATTATCTTAAAGAAATAGGATTCTAGGGGAGACCAATGAGACCAATCCTCTGAAAGTTGAATCCTAGGAGTATCAATGTGTGGTTGTTTGTAAGAGTTGTATTTGTGATTGTCTTCCATAACTTGGATACTCTTTGCCATGGAGGCTCTATTCTGGGGAACAGGAGAAAACAGTGGTACAGGTTCTCTGCTAAGATTGCAGTTCGCACAGAGTCCGTTTAGTGGGTTTCTATCTTTCTTTTTCCTTCTATCTTCCCTTCATGGCAGAGCCCTAATACTGAACTCCTCCAATTTTGCAATGATGTGGTACGTGGCTGCATTCTGGACCCCTGATCACACCATGGTAAAAGACATCCAAAAGAAAGCAGCAGCATACCTCTAGACCGGGGACGCCTCCAAGCATCACTTCATAACGAAAGTAGCTTGGCAATACGTCACCTGGAAAAACGATCAGGGCGGACTGGGAGTCCTAGACCATGCCACCCAAATAAAAGCACTACAAACGAAATGGATCTTAAAACTCCTTACTAGACCAAGCCTCCCTTGGAGAAAGCTAGCTATGGAAGGATTACAACAATTGCCAACATACAATACCCCATCCAACATGGAAGGCTCCTTCTGGGTAATGAGCAAATCCTGGTCAATGAAAGGCAACAAAGAGAATACAAGAAATGAATCAAGGACAGGATTCTGGAAAGGGATTCTCAAGGCATGGAGGGAAATCTTCCCAGCTAAAGTTAAGAGACCACAAAAAAAGGAAGAAATACCCAGGCAAGCCCTCTTCTGCAACGCCTGGATAACCAACACAGAAGAGAACCCCTTGACACTTACCACAAAAGACACAAGGGCACATGGCTGGAAAAAGGCGTATGGCAAATCAAACATATATCTGGGACGAAGATTTAAACAACTGGAGGGAGGAAAAACAACTACGAAACCAACTCAAGGGATGCCATCGACTGAGGCAAAATCTACAAGAGCAATAGTAGCCATCCCACAAGAATGGATACCAATCCTTAAACAAGAAAGAAAATGGACCACAGGGGATTGGGCAGTAATGACAAACGAAACACTACAAGAGCACGCGTAAGCATACCATAGTAGGGAAGAGGGCTCTGAAAACTGGCACACATTCACCATGC